CCTGCGGGGTGCACCGGGGGCTCGGTGCGTGACTTGTCTGCGATGTTGTGGGCGGCAGGACGCCATGTCTGATGGCCCGGTGGCCGGCACCTGGTGCGGCACTCGGCGCGGCGCCCATGGGCCCGGGGGCCCTCCTGGCCCTCCAGCTGGCCTCGCTGCTGCTGTTGCTGCAGCCGCAGGCCGAGGCGGGATTCGCCTGCCTCAGCAGCCCCTGCGTCTACGGCATATGCATGGACGACCTCAACAGGTCAGTTCTAACACGAAACACATGGATGTCCCCGGGTCATGTTTTTTTTTTTTTGCGCTTTATTTCAACTTGTGAATAACAGTGTTTGAGAAACCATGGACCTTTTCTAAGAACCTAGTGGCTGTTTGTGATTTTTGTTGGTGTCTGCCACGGCTCACGTCTGGCAGCTCGTTTACTTGTTACTGCATCGACGGCTACACGGGTGCGCTGTGTCAGACCAACTGGGACGAGTGCTGGTCCTCGCCGTGCCTCAACGGGGGTAGCTGCGTGGACGGAGTGGCCTCCTTCAACTGCACCTGCCCCGACGGCTTCGTGGGTGAGTAGTGACTGACTGCCCGGGCCGGGCTGTGACAGGTCAATGGGCATCGACGGAGCACCGCGCGTTCCACTATACCGGTGACGTGTTGCGCAGGCGAGCTGTGCGAGCTGGACGTCAACGAGTGCCTCTCCAACCCGTGCCTCAACAACGCCACCTGCCTGGATGGCCCCAATGGCTACGCGTGCCTGTGCCCGCCGGGCTACTCCGGCGAGCGCTGCGACCTGGACGTGGCCGTGTGTAACGTCACGGCCGAGGCCCGCTGCAGCAACGGCGGTGCCTGCCAGGAGGGCCGCGGCATGGACTTCTCGTGCGTGTGCCTGCCGGGTGAGTGCGGGTTGGGCGCTCAGCGGCCGCGGCTCACCCTGAGAGCGGGATTCTGTGAAGTTTGTGGAAAGTAGTGGACACAACTAAACCCAGTGGCATTGCTGTCGAAGGCTGGACCGGGCCGCTGTGCGAGGAGCCCGTCAACGAGTGCGAGTCCTCGCCCTGCCACCACGGCGGCGTCTGTGTCGACCTGCACGCCGGCTACGCCTGTGCTTGCCTGTTCGGTGGGTAGACCTCCTTGTCAGTTACTCTCTGGCGAGTGCCGACGGTCGAAACGAGACGGGTGACGCTGGTGTGCGGTCCTCAGGGTACACGGGCAAGCACTGCGAGCAGGAGCTGGAGCCGTGCGCCAAGAACTCGTGCCTCAACGGGGCGCTGTGCCTGCTGGAGGACGGCGACGACGTCTGCTACTGCGTGCCAGACTTCCACGGCGACCGCTGCCAGCTGCAGTACGACGAGTGCCGGCGCGGACCGGGGTGAGTTCGACCACCCGGAAAACTGTGTTCTTATTTCTGGCACGAGAACACGGTAAACCTCACTTTTTGCGCCTTCTCGGACGTACTCGTACTTAGCAGGGATGCCTGCACGCCCACTTTGACTGCTTTTAACCACAGCTGCCGCAACGGCGGGACTTGCATCGACGGCGTGGACGAGTTTTCGTGCTCGTGTCCCTCCGGGCTGAGCGGCTCCCAGTGCGAGTGCGTGGCTCAGCTGGACGGGCTGCTCAACTGCTCGGAGGCCGCGCGGCCGCCGGCCCCCGCTGGCCCTGGCACGACGCCGACGCCGCTCACAACAAGCACCAGGAGACCGGCCAGCGCGACGACGTTCCGACCAGCTTCCACGTCCACGCGGAGGCCGCGGACAACGACCGCCTCCGTGCCTATCAAACCAGCATGGACGACGACCACCGCGATCATGCTCACCCCGACAGTCACAACGACCACGCGGCGCACACCAAGACCAGGTCCACGGCCATGGACGAAGCCGATCACCACGACGCGAACGGCCGGACCCCCGACGTCGTCGACCGCATTTTATCTCACGTCCACGACCGGTGCCGACCTCAGCCCGACGTTCTCCACCTTCAGTGGCGACGAGAGCTTCACAACCGCGGTTGCCACAGTCGAGTTCCCGCGTACGAACGCCACAGCCTTCACGTACACGCCGGTCTCCACCACAGCAGTGGACTTCCAAGCGAGGACAGCCTCAGACGCGGGCACAACCCCGGCCTGGGCGACGTCCACGTCCGAATGGGTGACCACGACGAGCGTGCCCGTGGCGCTCACGTCCATGGGAGCAGCCAGCGACGTGACGGACGCCGAGCCGCCGCCCTCTGCAGCGACCAGCGAATCTCCCTCCAGGTCAACGTCCGTGTCCGAAGACGGCGCCGTAACAGACCACGTTCACGTGGAAGGCTCTGCGACTGACGGGGGTGTGGGTGATGGAGCGCTCGGGGCCTCCACACGTCCCGGGGAGGAGGTCGGGCCGGTAACGCCAGTGTCAGAGGCAAGTGCGTCGACGACTGTCGGGGGTAGCCCGGGGGCGCCGGCGGTTTCGGCAGTGCCCGCCACCAGGGACCCCAAATCCTTCCCCGTTGCCACGAGCACGTCAAACACAACGGCAACAGCCATGACACCGCATGCCCAACGTGGGGGAGCGGACAAGGCCGGCTCGGACGTGACGGTCACGGTCAGCCCCCATCCCCTTCCGGACGTGACGCCTAGCGTCACCGAGACCTTTACCCGTGTCGTCACGCACGGCGCAACCGAGGGGGCCACCCTGCCGACAGCCGACGCCGAGTCTACAAGCGAGGGACCGGTCCAGCCGACAAGCCTCACGACGCCCACTAACGTTAGGCTGACGACGGCCCCAGCAGGAGTCGCTTCACCTGACTTTCTGTGGACGACCTTCCCCCCTACGACGACCCCGGATGCGGTGCCGGGTACAGTGACCTTGCCGGGTGTGACGGTGACGATGGCCACGACGGAGCCTGCCGACGAAGAGGGTTTGAGCACCACCGAGTCCCCCGAAGGCAACATGACGGACTGCAGCGAGACACCCTGCCTCCACGGGGCCACCTGTGAGAACACCCCCGACGGCATCAAGGTAACGTCCAGTCCCTTCCCGAACACCCCGTTGGCCACATTCGGCTGGCTAAGCCACCACCCTGCTTACAGTGCCTGTGCGCGTTCGGCTGGTCCGGCCCGCGCTGCGCCGTGGAGGTGCGCGTCACGTCGGCGGCCTTTGCGGGACACTCGTTTCTGGTGCATCGCCTACCCGGTGACCTCGGCGGCGTCCTCGGCTCGCGGGTGGCGGTGCGCGCGCGCACTCTCGCACCCTCCGGGCTGCTCCTGCACGCCTCCCTGGCACCCGAAATCTACGTCACTCTGTACCTAGAGGACGGACTGCTCAAGTTCCAGTTCTCGTGCGGCGTGCAGACCATGGTCTTCAGTGAGGTGCAGCACCGCGTCAACAACGGCTTCGACCTGCACATCGCAGCCTCGTGAGTTCAGAGAGAAACAAAACAAGTGTCGGGCACGGTCTGTCAGAAGTGTCCCTCCGAGGCCGTGCCCCCTGTGACGAGGCCGTGCACACGCTGTTGCAGGTTGGAGGTGCTGCCCCTTCGCGGAGCGATGCGCCCGTGCGCGGCGGCTCTGCACGTCAACCACTCTCTGGCCATGAGCGGCGAGCAGCAGTCCGTGGAGCCCCAGGGGGGCCCCGGTGGGGGCGGTGCCGCTGCCCAGGGCCGGAACCACAGCGCGCTGCTCTACCTGGGCGGGCTGCCCGGTATTGGGCACCACCTGCGCCCAGACCACACCGACGACGCCCCTCTGCCCGGCGGCCTGGTGGGCTGCATGCTGGGGCTGGAGGTAAGGGCTGGAAGAGGTGGGCGGGGCAGGGCGTTGAGGTTGGCGGTTTAGTTGAGCAGAGCAGGCGGGCTTCACCACCCAATGCGACCCAGTGCTCAAGAAAGAGCAGCACATCAGTGGACCATCAAGGTCTCCATCGCGAAGAACGACGAGCCGGTTTAAATGGCGAGTTTGCGTTTCACTGGTTGTAGACTGGAGGGAGAATCCGAACTGGTTCTTTAGGTACTCAGGGGAAGTAGCAGCACATAGTTGGCCAATAAGATATTTTACGAATAAGAAGAACAGAAGGAATCCCGGGTTTTGATACATAACAAGCCGCGCAGGTCACTGGCGCGTAACGACACGGTTTCTCGTGTACCAGATTTTTTTGGTTCTCAGCTTTGAAATGATATAGAACAGTTGTGACTTCTTTTCAGTTTTAGTGGAGATACGCGAGAAACCGTGCGCTTGTTTATGGCTTTGTTGTGGTCCGGGAGCAGACGTCGGCCGGGATTCCTCCTGTTCTTCTTATTCGTATAATACCTCATTACCTAGCCAGTCAGTCGTCAGTTTACACAAGCAGGGTATGGAAAAAATCCGAGAACCAAGTGCTCTGCTAGACCGCCAGCCCCCCGCTTGGAGCGCCTGCTAGGTAGGCAACACGAGTACACACGCATTGTACTGCTGGCCTACCTTGCCCCTGCCGCCCCTCAGCCTCAACCCGATTACGCCGATCACGCCGCACGTACGTACGCAACTAAGCCTCGCTCCAAACTTTCCGCAGGTGGACGATGGTCCTCGGCGCATTTTCGACGACGCCGTCAGCGGCTCCGAGGTGACGGAGTGCGCGGCGCTCGCCTGCCTGTCGGCGCCCTGCCAGAGTGGCGGCACCTGCGTACAGAACGGCCAGGACTGGGACTGTCTGTGTCCCTCCGGGTAAGTACGGGCCTGGCCCTGGGGGCCCTGGAGGCCCTGGAGGCCCTGGAGGCCCTGGAGGCCCTGCAACTCGACACGACCCACGGCCCGCTCTGCAAACCGCCCCTCGCTCTCGCTGCCCGCGATCCGTTTCCGCGTGACGTAGCAAGTGGCGCCAATTGAGAGTCGAGGCGCGCTGACCTACTGATCTTCTTTCTCTCTCTCTCCCTCGTCGACCGTCAGGTATGTGGGCAGGACCTGCGAGATCTCCGTCTGTCGGAACAACCCCTGCAGGTTCGGCGGTACATGCGTCCCCTACCCAGCCAGCGGCTTCCTGTGTCTGTGCCCACTCGGCAAGCACGGCATGTTCTGCGAGTCAGGCAAGTACCAATTCACAATGCCAGTACCTAGTACTATACTCACACTCCGGAGCCATGAGTCAGGGGTCATGCGACTAGCATGTACAGATTAATCTATCCGAGAAAGTTAACGAAAAATTCTGTGCGAATAATTGACTCATTCAGAGAGCAGGTCAATAAACCCTTCGGTACTCGTTGGGCTGAGCACGGCTCGTGCAGGTGAAAAACAACATGAGCTCGATTTAGGCCGTGTTGGGTGCTGTTCAAATCCGTGACGGCCAAGGCACGCGTGCGCTCTCGTGTGCGTAGCGGAGCAGAACGGACTCCGTGCCCGCGACGCACACGAGGGAGGTGGGACATGCGGGAGCGCGAGCGCCGTAGAGCCGTGCGTCATCGCCGTTTCGTTTCTCGGCCCGCAGACCTGGAGGTGGCCCAGCTGTCCTTCTCGCCGTCGGTGGCGGGACTGTCGTCCTTTGCCGCCTACGCGCTCCCAGTGTCGGTGGAGAGCGCCATGGAGCTGCGCTTCCGCTTCGTGCCCGCCACCCAGGACCAGGTGGGGCTGATGCTGTTCCTCGGCCAGGACGGCCCGCACGACGCCTCCTCGGACCACCTCGCCGTCAGCTTCATCAAGGGCTACGTCGTGCTGACGTGGAACCTGGGCTCGGGGCCGCGGCGCATCTTCACGCCGCGGCCGCTGGAGCCCCGCGGCCAGCGGCCGCACTCGGTGCGCGTGGGCCGCGCGGGCGCCGCCGCCTGGCTGGTCGCCGACGGCATGGCCAACGTGACGGGCACCTCCCCGGGGCCCCTCAGCCAGCTCAACACCGCCCCCTGGCTGTACCTGGGTGAGTCTGCGTTGCGGTGGCGAGTTGGGTGCGTGGCGAACGCGTGTGGGACGGGGAGAGGAAGGTGGGGGCGCTCCGGGCCGGCCGCGGCCATGAGCCACTTCATGAGATCATGTCGAGCGGTGAGCTATGCGCTCTGATTGCCGGTGGTCGCCCGCGGCGCCGCACGGGGGCGGGTCGACGACCCGCACGCGCACGCACTCCGTATTGATCACCGGCCGGCGCCCCGCCGCCCCGCCCGGCCCGCCCCGCCCCGCCCTGACACACTTGTTATCAAGCGGAAGGCGACCGTCAAGCCGTCGCCGGCCGTAAGAAGGGGGCATAGCGCAGAGGATCAATGATACGCGGAGGGCGGCGGCCCGCCCTCACCGTCCTCGTGAACGTCTTTCTTCCTGTCCGCAGGTGGCCACGACGCCGTCAACTTCTCGGGCCTCCCCCACGACCTGCCGCTGCACAGCGGCTTCGCCGGCTGCCTGCTCGACGTGGAAGTGGTGTCCGGGGCGGGGCCGTCGCGCGTGTCCGTGGCCCTGGAGCGCACGCGGCCGGCGGCCGGCCGGGCCGTGGGGCAGTGCGGCACGACGCTGTGCCACGCGCGCGCGTGCCAGCACCGCGCCGCGTGCCTGCACCACGCCGCCACCTTCTCGTGCCTGTGCCCGGACGGCTGGTTCGGCCCCGTGTGCGCGCAGCGCTTCAACCCGTGCGACTCCAGCCGGCACAACTGCAGCGCCGGCTCCACGTGTGTGCCGCTCAGGGAGGGTTACGAGTGCGACTGCCCGTTCGGTCGCTCAGGCCGCTACTGCGAGAAAGGTCAGGGATCAGGGTCCGCTTCACGTAAGCTCCAGCTGCCCAGCCGCACTCAGCATGCCCTCCCCCTGCCCACAGAGGAGGCCGTGTCCGACGTGCTGCTGAGCGGCAGGCGCTCCTTCCTGTCGCTGGGCGCGGTGGACCTGCAGCGCGCACAGTCCTGCGTGGGCCTGGAGGTACGGCCGCTGGCGGACGACGGGCTACTCTTGCACGCGGGTCACGCGGCGCCGCGCGCGCCCAGCCTGGCGCTCGTGCTGCGCGGCGGGCTGCTCGAGGCGCGCCTCGCCACGGGCGTGCCCGCGCGCCGGTCGGCCCTCGTGACGGTGCGGTCCCGGCGCGTGCTCGCCCGCGACGACTGGCACCGCGTGCGCGTGTGCCGCTACGGCCGCCGCCTGTTCCTCTGGGTGGACGGCGACGCGCACAGCGCCGCGCTGCGGCCCACGCACCGCCTGCCGCCCGCGGGCGCGCCGCTGTTCGTGGGCGGCGCCCCGGACCTGGCGGCGCTGCCCTGGCTGCTGGGCGGCGGCGCCGCGGGGGCCGTGCCTCTGCGGGGCTGCGTCCGCGGCCTCAGCGTCAACTGGCGCGCCGCCCCGCTGGACGCGGCCCACGTGCTCGAGGCCCGCAACGTGGCCGACTGCGACGGCACGGCGTGCGGCGGGGACGTGTGCCAGCACGGCGGCTCCTGCTGGCTCGGCGACCAGGGTGACGCGTACTGCACGTGCGCCCGCGGCTACAGCGGCCGCCACTGCGAGCACCAGCTGGCGTGCGACGCGGCCCTGGCCGGGCGCGGCGCGGCCCCCGCGACGCAGCCCTGCAGGAACAGGGGCCGGTGCGTCGGCGCGCGCTGCCACTGCCCCGCCGGCTGGGGCGGCGCGTTTTGCGAAGATGGTAGGTGGCCGTTGGCTCAGCCTTGATCAAGAGAAAACGGGAGTACTGATCTGGTGTTTGAATTGGCTGTCTCTGTGGTCCTGGCAGAGGTGGCCGTCGGCACGCCGCACTTTGGCGGCGAGGGCTACCTGCTCGTGGACCGCGACGCCTCCAGGCCGCGGCACGCCGACGCCGACGTTGAGGAGTTCGCGGTGGGCGGCCGGATGCGGGAGGGAGAGCGGAGAGACATCAGCTTCCTGTATCTCAACTTCTCGACGACGCAGGAGAACGGGATGATCTTGTGGTCGGCCAAGGTGCGTCCGGAACTGGAACGGTTCTTCGCGAGCCCGCAATGGTTTCTATACAGTTCATGCGTGTACCCGTCACACTTGCGCTTGCAGGACGAGGAAGTGGTGGGCGTGGGCGTGGAGGCTGGCCGCCTCAAGGTGGTGTGGGGATGGCGCGGCGCCGGGCTCTTCGTCGCCCTGGTGCCCGGCCCCGCTGTGTCCGATGGCGCCTGGCACGACCTCGCCCTGTCTTTCGGGCCCAACGTCACAATGTGGACTGACGCCAGCCCGGAGCCCGTCCACAGAGCTGCAGCGCTCGCCCGCCCCGTGTCCTCGGGGGGAGTCCTTTACGTCGGTATGTGAATGGGCTGCCATCGTGAACCGCAACGAATGTGGCCTTTAATAATAATTACATTTTGTCCCCTTAGGAGGCTTTCCGGGGAACAAGTCTGTGGTGATGGAGACTAGAGGCGTATTTAACATGCCGTTCAGTGGCTGCCTGCAACAGGTGTCCTGGAACCAGGACTCGAGTGTGACTGACTTCACAGGATACCAAGGGGAGAATGTGGGAAGTTGTGAGCTCTTTGAACCATGATCATGTCTATGGTAGAGCAGATATAGAATGAACTGTAAAACTAAATGTAGGTATTATTGTACTAGAGATCTCTTGAGGGGCTTCCCCAGCTGGAGAGCCCAGATGAAGGATTGGGGGGAGGTTTTTAAATGTTTCGCATCGAAACGAAATTATTTTAGAAGTGACAATTTTTATGTTGAGTTTCTGTTTTTCTGAGTTTAAAGTGTGATTTTCTTTGTTGAAAAAGTCCTGTCCTTGGTTAGGAGCATGTGTAGACATGAAAACCCTGTAATGTTTGAGATTATTTTAGTTTAAGT